AGGGCATGTGCCCTTAACTGGAATGAAACCCAGGTCCCTTCAGTACACAGGCTAACACTCTATTCTCTTAGCCAAACCAGCTAGGGCAGAAATAGAGTTTTAAGATGAATATTAAAGGAAGTCTGTGGATACAGAAAAAAATTTACAGCCTCAAGGTTTGCTTCAGCAAAAGCTAGGAGCTCTGAAGGGGGGAAAAATGTGTCAAGGTATAAGCACAAAAGAAAACTAGAGGCAGAAAAATATTGAGAGATATTTGCACTAGAAACATATTGGATGGCTGCTGGAGGGTTTATAAAGACTAAGGTTGAAATTAGTAGTGAAACTCTTGAAATTTAGAACACAATGGACCAAATTATACTACCCAATCACATTGCTGTGATTTTTTTTTTTTTTAGTCTCATATCTTGCAATGATTTGTAATTAAACCTGTGGGTAAGTATTCAACTAATTCTGAATTATTTATGTGTGGATACATTTTCAGTCAACCTGAATTCTTTTCAGGAGAAGGGTATAGCCTTAGGGAGAATCATTCAGGTTTTTTAAGTAATTGACACTGTTAAAAAAAAAAAAAAGCATTGTTATTAATTACAAAATAAAGTCTGTGCTTTTTAAATACCTCTGGGGCCTACCTTGATCTGACCCTGACTACCTTCCCCTCCCACACAGTCTCTCTTCTCAAACCCCTCTTGTGTTGAAAGCCTTCACTACAGTTCTGACACTAAATTATATTCTGCTGTCTACTGTTACTTAGACTAAGCTTGTTATCTCTCCAATGAGATTATAATTCCCCAAAGGATCTGTCCAAATAGTGTTTTGTTTTGTTTAGTATATTCTAACTAAATTAATGATGCTATTTACTATGCACAGTAAAAGTGAAGAATTTGAACCCAAAAGTTGATAGTAATTAAATTAATCTGTTTTATTGTATTATTCCTTGATATTATTGTTTTCTCATTCAGTATTCTCTTCCTTAGGTCTCTGGACTATAAACCTACTAGCAAAAAAATAGTAAGAACAAACAAACAAGGAACACAATAAGCAGTAACCTGCTGTCTCCTAAACCTTGAACTATAGCAATCAAAAAGTCATTGGGAACAAATATCACAAACCTGAAAATAGCATTTTGAGCAGTCACTTTGTTATAGCTTCACGTGGGCTTAAGCTCTTCTTAGGCCCTTTGAGCCCAGAGGTACGGTGCTGATATGTAAAAGTTAAAAGGAACTCTACATGAAGAATTAGGAAACGTGTCCTTTGTCAAAGATTTAGCTGTGTGTGATTGAAAATGATGGCACCTGATCAGATCCGTTCATTTCCTTGACAAATCCTCAGGGCTTTTCATTGACAGCACTCTCTCCTAGTGTGCCTGGTGTACAGTAGTTTCTCAAGAAGTATGTGTGATGGCCCAGCTGGTGTGGCTCAGCAGGTCATGGTAGGATTCCCTGTCAGGGAGTGGGCAGGAGGCAACTGATCAAATGATTCTCTTTCATCATTGATACTTCTATCTCTCTCTCTCTTTCTCCCTTCCTTTCTAAAATCAATAAAAACATATTTAAAAAAAAAAAAAAGAGGAAATACTCGTCATGGAATCTTTTATGCTGGGCATGGAGCCTCTGTCCTCAAGAAGATCATACTTTGGTTGAGACAAAGACTTCCAAATGCTCAATTTTATCATTATTAAGAGATAAGAATTAGTAATAGCTAACACTTGAGTATTTACCATGTGCCAGACAGTATTCCACATGCCTTGCCTGAATTAATTCATTTATTTCTCCCAAGAACACTCTATTTCCATTTTTATAGGCTCAGGAAGAAAAACAATTTGCCCAAGGTCACACAGCACGACGTGGCAGGGCAGGCTCTGAATCAGCACTTGTAGGCACAAGTGAAGAGTACGTCTGACTCAAGGACCACTGACGTTTCCAATGAAACACTAGAAACATGGGGCAGCTGTTTCATGAAAGCCCATCTGTTTGGAACATCTTGGTGCTTCTGAAACTCAAAATGCCCCAGAATCCTCTGAGAAGATTCAGAATTTCAGCCTGAAATCCTGGAGATTCTGAACCAATAAGGTTAGAGTGGGGATTCAGAATCTATATTCTTAACAAGTGCGGCTGGTGATGCTGATAACCTTGTGATCCCGTCTTTAAAACACTGCACTAGATCTGTTTCCCAGCAGGACCCTTCGGCTCAGGTTCTGTGCTCTCTTTTCAGGCCCGGTGCTCTGCTGGCCACGTGTTGGCTCAGAACCCATGGACCACGCAGTCTGAGGGCTGTGCAGGGCCTCGGCATCTTTGGAGAGTCTGGATTACAGGCATCATAACCCTGACCCAGGGCACTTATTCATGGTTTATTTGTCTGTCTCCTCATGTATGCAGGAGCTGTTTCATATTCTGCTTCATATGCCCAGCGTGTAATTCAGTGCACAGGAAATGTCTTCGGGATGAACTGATGACCAGCATGAGCCATGCCTGTGCTCCAGACCCAGCAGCCCTGCCTTATGCAGAAGACAGATACCTAGCAGGATCAGGAGATAGGTAGCCACAATTACCTAAATACACCCAGCATATTCTTGTATTCACAGGGAACCAACAAAGGATGTTGCAAGTGGTACGGGAGGGGAAACCATGCTAGAAAAGTAGGTGGGAAGTTGTTCTGAGCTCAATCAGCTTGTCTCCATCAATAGTCCATATGTTGAAGTCCTAACCCCAGCACTTCAGAATGAGACTGCAGATAGAGCGGGGTTTTTTGTTTGTTTGTTTGTTTGTTTGTCTTTTAGTAATTGAGTGTCTGGCTGGTGTGTCTCAGTGGTTGAGCATCCACCCATTAACCACAAGGTCACTGGTTCGATTCCAGGTCAGGGCACGTACCTAGTTGCAAACTTGATCCCCAGTGGGGGGCGTGCAGGAGGCAGCTGAACGATGTTTCTCTCTCATTGATGTTTCTATCTCTCCCTTTCCCTCTAAAATCAAACAATATATTTTTTTTATACATACACACACATATACATATATTTTAAGGTAATTGCATGAACATGAAGTCATAGGAAAGATGCTAATCCAGTAGGACTGGTGTCCTATATGAAGAGGAGATTAAGACTCTGACACAGAGAAAAGCCCATGTGAAAATAGTGGAGGAAAACCGCCCTCACAAGCCAAGGAAAGAGGCTTCAGGAGCAACTAACCCTGCCGACACCTTGATCTCAGACTTCCAGTACATACACTTGTGAGGAAATACACTTCTGTCATTTAAGCCACCCAGTTGGCAGTACTAGCAAACAAATACAGGAGCCGATTATGAAAATTTACTAAGCCAAACTATGGAAATTAACTTTTATCCTTTAAGCTGTCAGAAGCCCTAGAAGTGTCTCAGCATCAAGGTGCCATGAGCAGCTCTGGTTCTGTAATATAATTTGGAAACAGTGGAGCCCCTGAAGTAGAGGATGGAGGTGGGATGGACAGACAGATACATTGTTCAGTGTAGAACAGAACTAGACCTAAGGGCCCTGGAATAAAACATTAGCAACCAGAATGAGAAAACAGAGGTCCCACGAAAGACATTTATGGGGCACAAGTAACAAGATTTGGGGAAGATGAGGTGTGGGCTGAGAAGAGATAGGATATCCTGAAGTGGGTGGAGCTTGGAAAGTGGGGAGCACAACAATGCCTGAGATCCCTACTGGAAATGCATTAACTAGTTTGGAATAGGTTAAGTTTCAGATAGTTGCAGAGAACAGAGCTGAATGTGATTCGTGGAATGAGAATGAAGTTCTGGGCCTAGATAGGGCCTGATATGAGATTCTGTGACTCGGAGGCCAGTGCTGGCCCCTGCAGGGGTGTGGGGAATGAGCACCATAGATCTGAGAGTCCCAAGGCCCAATCCACAATGGATGGAGAGAGGAGCCAGCAGATTGAAGAAACGATCTAAAAAGAAACAGAAGATGGGAGAGGAGGGTCGTCAAAAGCCAAGAAAATCAACATTGGTGAGTTGTTGATAGTTTTCAAAGGAAGTAAAGCTTTCTGTGCCCATGTTGCAGACCAGCTCAGGCTGGTTTCCCTACTTCACACCATGGTTTTCTCTCTCTCTCTCTCTCTCTCTCTCTCTCTCTCTCTCTCTCTCTCTCTCTCTCCTCTTCCCTCCCTTCCTCCCTCCCTCCCTCCCTCCTCCACCACCTCCTCCACCCCGCAATTTGGTAAATCGAGACAGAAGTGGCTGGGCATGTGTGGAAAGGGGTTTGGGATGAGAATGGGGGGAATGAGGACAATAAAGAAATTAATAAAGAAATTTTAAAAAGATATCTTTTTCTCAATTGAATATATTAAAATCATATTTCTTTTAAATATTATATTTTTAAAACATGGAAGAAGAAGAAGAAGAAGAAGAAGAAGAAGAAGAAGAAGAAGAAGAAGAAGAAGAAGAAGAAGAAGAAGAAGAAGAAGAAGAAGAAGAAGAAGAAGAAGAAGAAGAAGAAGAAGAAGTAGTAGTAGTAGTAGTAGTAGTGGTAGTAGTAGTAGTAGTGGTGGTAGTGGTGGTGGTGGTGGTGGTAGTGGTGGTGGTGCTGGGAGTTAATGGGGACCCAAGCATCCTAGCATGATCTCAGGGTCACGCCGCCAGTGACAGCTCCAACAGCCCTTTTCCCACCGGCGGGCGGGCGGGTGGGCGGGCGGGCGGCGGTCCCGCCCGGGCCTTTCACCCGAAAGGAATGCGGGGCGCGCTGGACTCCGGCGGCTCCGCTGGGAACGGGGCCCGGGCGCCGCTCGCCCTGCGCGCCGGCCTCGGGGGCGGCTCCCTCGCGCCTCCCCCGCCGCGCGCCCCGCCGCTGGGAGCGGAGCGGAGCGGAGAGGCGGGCGAGGGGGAGGCGGCCGGAGCGCCGGGCGGGCGGGGGACGCGGGGCTGCGGGAGGCCGGGGGCGGGGAGCGGCGGGCGGCCCGGGAAGAAAGGAACATGGCTCCTGCGGCGGGCAGCCGCTCGGGGCGGAGGCGCTCGGGGCGCCAGTGAGCGCGATGGTGAACGCGAGCCGCGTGCAGCCGCAGCCGCCGGGGGCCGCCCAGCAGCCGCCCGCGCCCCGAGCGCCGCGCCCGGGCCGGCCGGCGGCGGGCGGCGCGGCCGGGGGAGCCGGCCTGGCGGCCCCGGGCGGCCTCCGCGAGCCGCGGGGCCTGGAGATGGAGATGGAGCGCATCCGCCAGGCGGCCGCGCGGGACCCCCCGGCCGGCGCCTCGGCCTCGCCGTCCCCGCCGCTCTCGTCCTGCTCGCGGCAGGCGTGGAGCCGCGACAACCCGGGCTTCGAGGCCGAGGAGGACGAGGAGGAGGAGGAGGTGGAGGGGGAGGAAGGGGGAATGGTGGTGGAGATGGACGTGGAGTGGCGCCCGGGCAGCCGGCGGTCGGCCGCCTCCTCCGCCGTGAGCTCCGGGGGCGCCCGGGGCCGGGGACTCGGGGGCTACCCCGGCGCGGGCCACCCGAGCGGGAGGCGGCGGCGGCGAGAGGACCGGAGCCCCCCGAACCCCAGCCCGGCGGGCGGCGGGGACCCGCTGCATCGCCACCTCCCGCTGGACGGGCAGCCGCCGCGAGTGGCCTGGGCGGAGAGGCTGGTGCGCGGGCTGCGAGGTAAGAGCGCGCCGGGCTGCGGCCGATGCGCCCACCCACCCGCCGGGCGGGGGCCCCCAGGGCTGCTTTCGGGGCTTCCCCGTGCATCCATCCCCACCTCCCTTGCAAACACCTTCTCCGCTTCTGCTAACTCTGCTCTGTTTCCGGTACCCAGCGCCCGATTTCACGGTTCCCTTCCCGGTGCAAATGTATTGGATCCTCCTTCTTCCAGAGGGAAAAAATAATAATGTCTGGAAATAAGTGAAAGCCATATTAAAGGGAAAGGATACATCTGAGGATATATATACTTTCTTTAACTGTAGAGGGGAAAATGAATAGTGGACCTAAGGGTGGTTACGCTGTGTCCTTGCTAATGTCACTAAATTAGAAGCGAAGTTCTGTGTTGGTACCCACAGATCTGGATCCCTCCTTGCTGGTCATCCCGCTCTTGAAAGGGTAACAGCCCAGTCTTCCCCCAGCTGTGGGAGGAGTGTCATTGGGTTGTCATTGATGTTGTTTTGATGTGTGTGTGGTTGTTTCTGGGAGTGGTGCTGTTGAGAACACCGCAGATCGAATAAAATAATATCTTTGAAAACAGTTACTTGACCATTTCTAATTCTAGGCATTTTCCTAAAACAGTTGTAAAAAAAAAAAAAAGTTACATTGTTTTAAAAAAAAAAAATCTTGGAAGTGTTTAAGTAACTAAATTAATGTTCTTTGAAATTCCAACCAAACAGTGAAATCACCAGATACCAGCTATTTGTAAATGTGTTGGTTCAGTGCACCCAGCTCAGACAGAAAAGGAATTTTCAAACTTGCCAGTGTCCATTAGGAGGACACACATTTTCCAAGAGCAGATGGGGATCCTTTTTATTTTGCAGTTTTGTCAGAGGCATCCTTGGAAAAAGAGTTGCATTTGTTCTTACTATCCAAATTATTTTAATCTCCACTTTTAAGAGCTTCCATTCTCCCTTCTTTTGAAAATTTCCCTTCCCTTCTCTAATCTTTCTGTCAGTTTTTAAAATCTTGCACAAAAAAACCACCCAGGTGTTCTCATAAGAACATGATTAAGATCAAGTCAGACCTACATAGAGACTCCACGCATTGGCTGCGTCGTGACCTTGAGCAAATTGCTAGACCTCTCTGATCCCCACCTTTTGCATTTATTGTTTAAAAGAGATAATCTTAATATTTAGTTCTTGACTTTGGAGGATTAAATGAGATGAGGCGTGTAAAATGTGTAACAGGTCTCTCCCATTTTGTGAGTACTTCATAAATTAAATCAGAAATTCTAAAAAGTGTACACTTTTGCTACTTTTTTTACATTAGTGCTTTTGATAGTTAATTTGATTCAGAGCATGGTAGAAAAGGAAAGGTCCTTTTTTAATAACTGGTGTGATTACTAAAAAACTAATACGTTTTAAGGTTCAAGTCTGTATTCAGACAAATTATATACAGTCGACCCTTGAACAAGCAGGAGGTTGGGGGAACTGACCTCTTATAACAGTCAGTCCTCTGCACGTGCCAAGTCCCAACCGCAGAGTTGACCCTTGAACAACTGGGTTTTGGACCGGATTTTGAAAAAAATCCCAGTATAAGTGGACCTGCTCAGTTCAAATCCTTGTTGTTCAAGGGCCAACTGGATTATTTTACATTGTTGTAAACGTACTTTTAAAAATACTCACTGAAGTGAGAATAAAGTTTCTTATAAGTTAATATGTAACGGTAAATCATGATCATGATCCTTTTAACTCGAGTAAGCATTTGATAACACATTTAACCTTCTTTGAATAAATTAATGGAATATAATAAAATGAAAATATAGATATATTTATATGAGTGTATATATGAGTTAACTTCTTTTAAACAAAACTTTCAGAAAATGTACAGTGAATAAGCTCATATTTAAACCATATATTACCAATCAATAGTCTAATTAGGAGAGCAGGCTCAAAAAAATCTTAGAGAAAATTTTAGGATAAGTGTTATTTTATGAAGAATGATAACTGGCATTCTTGTCACTTGTTAAATAAATGACATTTGTTAAATACTTAGCACCTACTGTGAAACTAATATTCGGCTAGGTGCTACAAAAAAGAAATAAACTAAAATAGCATATTACCATTTTCCTATACACAAACCCAGAAAAGTAAAATAAATAACCATGAATGAGTTTTTCTTTCCCTCTTGGGATACTAATGAAAAAAATCTCATATGCATTATGTAAGTAGTGCCCTAGGATCAGAACAGAAAGCAGCCTTCAATTTCTGAAGGTAGGAGGGGTTACTCAAGTTTGGAGCTTCCCTGTAGGTCTCCTGTCTTTGTGACTTTAGACAATTCACCCAGGCTTCCTGGGCCTCAGGTGCTTGATCATGAAATGGAAGAGTTTGCCCCGCGGACATGGCTCAGTGGTTGAGCATCAGCCTATAAACCAGGAGGTCATGGTTCGATTCCCAGTCAGGGCACATGCCTGGGTTGTGGGCTCGATCCCCAGTGTAGGGCATGCAGGAGGCAGTCGATCAATGATTCTCTGTCATCACTGATGTTTCTATCACTCTCTCCCTGTCCCTTCCTCTCTGAAGTCAATAAAAATAAATTTTAATAAAATGAAAGAGTTCAGCGTTTTAGCTTCAACATACCTTTGTGTTATTTAATGACATGAATCCAAGATGGACAACAAATGGTCATTTTCCCTCCTGGAACAGTAGCCAGATCGATCTTCTTAGCAGAAGTAATATCATGGTAAAGAAGATATGTTTGAAGCCTGACTCTGGGAAACATTGAGTCTAACTAAGGAATTAAGAATTTATCTCTTAATATTCAGAAGTAGTTGAAAGTTTCTGAGCAAGAACAGAACTTGCTGCAAAGGACCATGAGTCAGGCAGTGTGCTGTGTAGGAGAGCTATCAGAGGGAGACAGAAAGATGGGGACCAGGGAAGAGGCAGCCAGGCTAAAGCGGTGCTGAAGGCCTGGACCGAGGGAAGTGAAGGATGGCTGAAAAATTTAAAGACTTCCCCAAACTTAGAGATACCCCCAATGATCTTGTTTTCTTTTCATCTTAGCAAACTCTTTTCAGTGCAAAGATACTATTTGATACTCTACATGAACTATTCAATTTTCTGAATTTCCAACGTTGAATGTGTTTTCTGGGTAAATTTGTGTACCAACTTGTTAAAGTCATTTTCTGCTTATTGTTTTAGAAATCTACTGGTATGCTTTCTTTTTTTTTTCTTTTTTGAGAAATTATAAAGTACTAGCTGTATTGGTTAGGGCAGGCTAGGCTACTATAACAAGTAATATAATACTTCCTTTCACTATGTTGTCACATCACTATCCATTTCCAGAACTTTATCATCATACCAAACAGAAACTCTACCCATCTATACTAATAAAAGGGTAATATGCTAATTAGACCTGATAGACTGGTCATCTTCCGGTTGTCTGTTCCTCCTTCCGGACAAAGCCAAGGTGGTGGGGGCCAAGGCAGAGGCAGTTAGGGGCGATCAGGCCAGCAGGCAGAGGTGGTTAGGGGCAATCAGGCAGGCAGGCAGAGTGGTTAGGGGAGATTAGGCAGCCAGGTGAGCAGTTAGGAGCCAGCAGTCCCAGATTGCAAGAGGGATGTCCTGGATTGGAGAGGGTGCAGATCCGGCTAAGGAACCCCCCTTCACCTCCATGCATGAATTTCATGCACCAGGCCTCTAGTTAAGCAATAACTCCTCATCTTCCCTCCTCCCTGCCCCTTGCTAATCTCTATTCTACTTTTTGTCTCTGAATTTCAGTATTCAGGTTTTGGTGGAATCATACAGTACTTGTCCTTTCATATCTGACTTATTCCGTTAGTACAGTGGTCGGCAAACCGTGGCTCTAGAGCCACATGCGGGCCCACACATATAATGTGATTGAAACTTCATGGCCCATGCGAAAGTCGGTTTTCGACTCTCAAAATAAGTTTCAATCGTTGTACTGTTGATATTTGGCTCTGTTGACAAATGAGTTTGCCAACCACTACCTTAGTATAACGCTTTGAAGGCTTACCCATGTTGTAGCATGTATCCAAACTTCATTCCTTTTGATATCTAAATAATATTCTATTGTATGTACCATATTTTGTTTTCATCTTTTGGCTATTGTGATTTTCTCTTTATTTTAATCCAAACCTCACTTCATCAATTTGTCCTTTTCCGTTTTTATTTGCATAAATGAGATTTTGTATTTTCATTGCTGTAAGGATTATTTTCTCTGGAGGGTTACTACTCTCTGATAAAGTTATGCTGGTAACAGAATTTATGCAGCCAACATTTATGAAGAGTCTGCTTTGTGCTTGGTACTAAGGATACAGAGATGAATAATACAATAATCCAACTCAAGGAGCTCCGAGTTCAGTAAGGGAAACAGAGATGTAAGTAAATAATTGCAGTGTCAGGTCCCAGATAGGGGAGGGACGCAAAGAGGAGAGCACCAGCTCAACCCAGAAAGGCCAGAGGAGGCGAAACAGGTTACACGTTATGTTTTGAAGGAAGGCAGGGGGCAGACGGGGACGGACAAGGGACAAATAATAGAAGTAAGATCAAGCAAGCCAGTAGCTCTTTGATACTTTTTCTTAAGGACAGTTAAAGCCAATGGGGGCTTCAGGCAGTGGGCTGATATGATCACTTGTCAATCTAAAGATGATTCTAGCAAGAATGTAGAGAGTAGGGTAAAGTGGATAGCACTGTTTGCTGGGAGAACAGGTATGGAGTGGTCTAACCAAGAAGGGTGATAAAAGGTACAACAAGGGCATGTGAACTGGATGGAAGGAAGTTAAATTAAATGGACAGAAACCATCAGAATTATGGACGACCTCCCTATGAGAGTTCAGAAAAGAGCCTATTCTAGAGTGAAACCCATGTTCATGCTTGGTATCTTTAACCGAAACAGGTCAAATAGGTTTATAGGAAAAAAGAAAAATCACAGTTGGAGCTACGTGAGCATGATTGTCTGTGGAATCTGCAGGTCGGAACTGGGAGGAACTGTTGCGTATACGTCTGCACCTCTGGAGAGGTTCAGGGGCCGATGTGATAGAAGGCAGCAACTGACTATTTGAAAAGTGGACCAATCGCAAAACAAAGTCACTTCTCTTTCTGAAGGTGCCCCCATGATTCCAATGAATATTAGGGAGGATAGTATTTATCTTTTTAAACAAGGCCCACATGGGCACAAAAACAGGATTCTTTTATGATATAAACTAGAGACCCGATGCAAGAAAATTTGTGCAAGAATAGGCCTTCCTTCTCCCAAGTGCCAGCACCAGCTTCCCTCAGGCACCCGGGCCCCGTGCTTCCCTCCTTTGGCTACTGGCAGGCACCCAGGACCCGGCTGGTTTCCCTCCAGCCTCAACTTTGTCAGGAAGGACGTCCAGAATGACGTCTGGAAGGCGTCCAGTCTAATTAGCATATTACCCTTTTATTATTATAGATGCCGTGAGCATTTAGTCAGACTGTTCAGAATGAACTCAAAGTCCATACACCACTCTGACATCTAGGCTTCGGAAGGAGGGCATTTTATAGATAGACCTGTTTCTGGAGCATAGACAGGCCTGTCCCAACCACCACATGTTTTACACTTATTTCTCTTTCCCAGAGCAACCCCGCAAAGTACTGTTCTCCCATTTTTCAGACGAGGAATTGGAGGCTCATAACATTAAAGAAGGCCTCAGCTCATGAGTGGCTGAGCCCTCATTTGAACAAACGCTGACTCCAAATCCCTACCTTGTACCTTGTCATAATCAATAAAGTCATCAGGTTTGGTGTATTTCTGATGGGACAGGGTTAATGTGAGGCAAGAGATCCACACTGAATCTTTTCACCATGGAACTGTAATACTTACAGATGAAATGATAGGAAAGCTGGGATTAGGTTTAATAGAGAGGAATGGGTGAGGATTTAGTACAGGGATGGGGATCGCCAGCCAGTGGGCCGTATAGAACCGGCAAAACCATTTGTTCTGGCCCTGCCAAGGCATTAGGGGTGAGATAATTAAATGTTTGACCTAATATAGCAGGCTAATTTTTAAGTTGATCATTTTGTGTGACTGGAGAATGATGTTATAAATATTTAAACGGCCCTTGGCAGAAAAAAGGTCCCCCACCCCTGGTATAGATGAATCAAGATTGGTGTTGAGTTGATAATAGTTGAAGCTGGGTGAGAGATACATTAGAATTCATTAGATCATTCTCGCTGATATTTTTTATATATTGCAAGATAAAAAGAGTTTGGAAGTATTTGGATAAAATAAATGCAAAGATGGCTTTTTTTCTCTCTCAAAAATCAGTTGTTTATATCTGGCACATGCTTTGTGCTTTGCGTTATCTATGTCTGAGTTCCTCCATATTCATATCAATGACACTGCACAAGGGAATAGACACTGTCTGGATGATGTGCTCCAACTTGGGGTTCTGCCATTCACTCAGCACCCTCTTAAACACATGTCCACCCCTCATGTCACACTCTCCCTAACAGCTGCTGACACTTTATGTACTGGCCATGGGTGCCTGGAGTGCTGGACAGGCACTCCCTCCACAGCGGGGAGCATTGTGGGAAAAGACAACAGTTGAGTTTGAAGAGTGCTGCCATTTAGGATGTGAATGCCAAGTTTAACCATTCTTACTCTGTTAGCACTGTAAACATGGGAAGGAGGTGGCAACAGCCACTTTTTTTTTTCTTTTTCTTTTTGTGGATGCAGCCGTTTCTCATCCGTCAGAATGTAAAGAGGTCCCTGGACCCTGAGAGAGAGAGACCCAACCTTCACATCCAGTGGGGCAATTCATGAATAGTAAATGCATAAAAAGATAATATATAAGCGCTTACTCGATAAATAAAAAGACTTTTTTTTTTTTTTTTTTGAAATGTTTCATCTAAGGGCTAGAGCTGTGGTCGGCAAACTTCGGCTTTCGAGCCACATGCGGCTCTTTGGCCCCTTGAGTGTGGCTCTTCCACAGAAGACCATGGCCTGATTTGAAGAAGTAGCGTTAGAAGAAGTTCAAGTTTAAAAAAATTTGGCTCTCGAAAGAAATTTTAATCGTTGTACAGTTGATATTTGGCTCTGTTGACTAATGAGTTTGCCGACCACTGGGCTAGGGCATTTCATTGCCATAGAGCATTGCAAGTTTCCTTTGAGTGAAATTTGAAAGGAGTTTGGTTTTTCTATTTGCAGGTCAAGCAGTATGATTTGTAAATATTAAGAACCATGATTGTTCCTTAATGTGTAACTGTTTATAAACCATAGGAAAGAGTGAAATCACTGTCCCCTGGAGGCCAGGCCACAATCTTTCCTGATGATAAAGAGACTGACAGTCTCTACTTAAGTGTATATCTTGGCCTCCCAAGGAAATCTACCCAAAAAAACGGTGTGGTTGTGTCCAGGGCTACTGCGCCGAACAGTTGGCTGCCTCTGTGTTATTCCGAGTTGTAATTTTCCATGTCATATAAATTTGTAATAATTCTTTAATACGATAGTTTCAGCGAACAAACATTCTGCTTGCTGCATTTCTTCGGGGTGAGTAATTCCCTGACAACTACCAGATCTTGGCAGGAGCGAACCTGGTCATAAGTTATGCTCCACTTTCAGCGTGGTGAAATCTGTGATGCGTAACACAGTGTCTTTGAATTCAGACGCTGATTTTCCTAAAGGAAATTTGGGGGGTGGGGGGGGTGGGGGAAATGAAAGGAAATGAAGTGCTCAAATTTAGGAGCAGAACTAATGTATTATTACAAGACTTAAGAATACATAAACACCAGCGATGAAGTCATTTCTTCGCAGTGGAAGGCCATGCACCGTTTGTCCTCTGTTCTCTGCGTGGCTGGCTGGTGGTTTTAAGCTGCTCTATGAACCCCAGGCACAAAAGGGGTTAAAGTCTGTGGAATAAAAGTGTAAGGCAGCCAGGGGCCAGGTTGGCTTCCATCAGCAGCCAGCCTAGTCTAACTGGAAGGACTGGGGAGTCTGTCCTTTTTGGGAAAACATTTAAGGCTCTTCCGAGTAACCAGCAATGTGACTTGACCACATCATTCATTAATGAGGGGTTTGGACGGCCACCCCGGCTGTCTGCCAGCCCCAAACGGCGGTAACTCTCTCCAGCAAGCTCGCAGAGGTTATGTCATCTTTGCTCAGCCGTCCCAACACTTTTTCCATCTGCGAAAATATGGAACATGGTCGCTGATTTTACTCTCCAAAGAGAGAAGTCAGCTACGTTGTTGCTTTTTATTTGAAGCGTGTATGTTAATGGGCACTTTAAAAATCTGTTAAACTAAGCATGTTTGGTGTAGTCGGTCACTACAGTTCCTTGAAAGGACAAAGGGCAGCCGAAACCGGTTTGGCTCAGTGGGTAGAACGTAGGCCTGTGGACTGAAGGGTCCTGGGTTCGATTCCGGTCAGGGGCATGTACCTTGGTTGCGGGCACATCCCCAGTAGGGGGTGTGCAGGAGGCAGCTGGTCCATGTTTCTCTCTCATCAATGTTTCTGACTCTCTATCCCTCTCCCTGTAAAAAAATCAATAAAGTATATATATATTTTAAACAAAGGGCAGAAGGCAGAGATTTTAGGCCAGTGTGTTAGAAGCTTGATAGATGTTCCAATAAGGGAAATGATGCTCCAACCAGAACTTCTTTTCCTCAGGGGTGACTTAAGAGGTATCATTTGCAATGCAGTTTCCTCATGTACTAAGTTTTACCATTTAGGAAGATCTGATGTGCATGCAGTGACTTAATCTCTCTTGTAAGCCGCCCTCATTTCCTGTTCTCTGGCTAAATTTTTACATTGTACTCCTGCTAAAACAATTTCCCAGTTACATTCAGAGCATGCTAAAAAAAAAATAATAATAAAAAAAATAGATGGGAGAGTCTCCCTTAAAGGTTATCCTATCTATTTTATGTTTTTCCTTTGCCATTCATAAGGTTAAAAAAAAAAAGACATCTTTTATTATTATTATTTTAAAGGTCTCTGGGGAACAAGACTTATGGAGGAAAGCAACACGAACCGAGAGAAGTACCTGAAAAGCGTTTTGCGGGAGCTGGCCACCTACCTCCTCTTTCTCATCGTCCTGTGCGTCTGTGAGTAGAACGTTTCCTTCCAGAAAGTTCCTTCCAGTTTCCTTTCCACAGTGGAGGAAAAGGTTTGGGAGTATTTGACCCGTCAAAATCACTATTAAAAGGCACCGTCTATGCACCACAAGGGTTAATTTAGAAGGTCCTCTGCTCTGTTTTCAATTCCAGTTTAGAACTTGGTAAAACTCTCTTCTCTCTTCTCTGGTAAACATTAATTAAAATTCAGCGTTATCTGATTGGCCAGTTCATTGCCAGTTGTGACCATTTTCATGCTGAGATGCAAGTGGTAACCTGCCACCATACAAAGAAACTTAAGTAAAAGGGTTTTTTTTTGTATTAGATTTCTTAACAATAATTAGAAAAATGACTTCCCTAATGGAACTTTCAGAAACTACAATGTCACCTAATATTGCTTTTATGGACATATGTAATATAGTCCCTTCCTTTCATATTTAGATGTGAGGTGTGAATGCCTTCATTCTTCAGTAATCACCAGATTTTTACTCTACAGGAAACTTACTGCAGACCAATCTCTGTATTTTTTTCTCTCTTCTTTCAATATGTCCTTGCATCCTCTGCGAGGGGATGGGAGGGAAGCCTTAGCTAGAAATGAGTCTTAGAAACCATTTGTCTCAAAGTGCCGGTCAATGGATTTATCCTTTGAATTTAAAGAGTGTTGGGTGATAAGAGTTCTGTAGTTCTAAAGCCCTTTATGAGAACAGATAAGGAAACGGATTTGTGACCACCAGAACTTCTTATGTATTCCTCCAGAAAAAGAGTTCATTCTTATAGCGTACACTTGGAAATGCTTAAAAATTCACACCAACCTTAGAAAGAGACCCTTTCTATTTAAATGGAAAGAATAAAAATGTAATCAGTACTTGGATAATGCCATTCAGATTACATTAAAATTGACCCCCTTGAATGTAATTGACTGGATGCTGAAAGCTTCCTTAAAAACAATTATTATTTACTAGATTAAAAAAAATAAAAAGATTTATAAGTTGAACATAAAAGTTAAAGAAACATCAAAATTTCAATATTTGTAATTTTAAGAAATTGAATATTGATTTATTTCATATCTCCACACTGATTCTTACTAATACTAGTAAGCTCTTATTGAGCTTTAGCTGGGGATGACTTCTTACATTTTCTGAAACTTTGCCTATCCAATTGGGAATTTAAGATAAAATAAGTTATTTAAGCTAAAAAGTATGTCTATATGAACAACATCCATCTAACGATTAAATTCTAATACGTCTTCTTGTTGTTGTTTTTTCTTACTAATTATCAGTTATTTGTTAGGAAGGAGTGTCTTATTACTTTTTTTTTTAAATCTTTATTGTTGAAAATATTACATATGTTCCCTTTTTTCCCATTTACCCCCATATAGCCCACCCCCAGACCTCCACCCCAGGCTTTCACCACCTTATTATCTGTGTCCATGGATTATGCATATTATATATGCATACAAGATCTTTGGTTGATCTCTTCCCACCCACCACTCACCTTCCCTGTGAGATTCCACAGTCTGTTCCATGCTTCTATGTCTCTAAATCTATTTTGTTCAACTGTTTATTTTGTTCATTAGATTCCACATATGAGTGAGATCATGTGATACTTGTCTTTCTCTGACTCGCTTATTTCACTTAGCACAGTACTCTCCAGGTCCCCCTCTCCCCCATGCTGTCTCAAAGGGTAAGAGATGCTTCTTTTTTACTGCTGCATAGTATTCCACGGTATAAATATACAACAGGTTTTTTATGCATTCATCTACTGATGGGCACTTGGGCTATTTCCAGATCTTAGCTATTGTAAATTGTGCTGCTATGAACACAGGGGTACATGGGTGCATATATTCTTTCTGATTGGTGCTTAAGGTTTCTTAGAATATATTCCTAGAAGTGGAATCACTGGATCAAATGGCAGTTTCATATTTAATTTTTCGAGGAAACCCTCACTAGGACTTGTTATTTGTTGATGGTAGCCATTCTGAGAAGTGTAAGGTCATAACTCATTGTTTTAATTTCTATCTCTCTGATGATCAGTGACTTTGACTATTTTTTCATAGGTCTTGTGACCTTTGGAGAAGTGTCTATTTAAGTCTTTTGCTCATTTTTTAATTGGATTGTTTGTCTTCCTTTTGATAAGTTGTATGAGTTCCTTATATATTTTGAATATTAACCCTTTATCAGATGTATCATTGTCAAATATGGTCTCCCATACAGTGGGCCCCCTTTTTGTTTAGTTGATGGCTTCTTTTGCTATGGAGAAGCTTTTTATTTTGATATAGTTCCATTTCTCTCTCTCTCTCCCTCTCCCTCTCCCTCACTCTCTCTTTTTCTTCTCATACAGCAGTCCCTTTAGCATTTCTTGCAGTGCTGGTTTGGTGGTGACAAACTCCTTTAGTTCCCCCCCCCACACACACACCCCTTTTTTTTTCTGGGAAGCTCTTTATTTCACCATCTATTTTGAATGATATTCTTGCTGGATATCGTAATCCTGGTTTCAGATTCTTGTTTTTCTTTATCTTGAATGCTTCATGCCATTCCCTTCTGGCTTATAGAGTTTCTGATGAAAAATCAGCCTTACGGGTGCTCCTTTGTAGGTTACAAATTGCTTTTCTCTTGCTGCCTTTAAGATTCTCTCTTTGTCTTTAATTTGGGGCATTTTAATTATGATGTATCTGGGCCTGAGCCTATTTGGGTTCTTCTTGCTTGGGACTCTCTGTACCTCCTGAACTTGCATAACTTTGCATATGCATGAGATCATGTGATATTGGTCTTTCTCTGACTCTCTTATTTCACTTAGCATAATACTCTCCAAGTCCTTCCAGGTTAGGGAAGTTTTCTGCCATTATTTCTTCAAACATGTTCTCTATCCCTCGTTCACTTTCTTCGCCTTCTGGCATACCTATTATGTTTCATATTGTTCCACAGCTAAGCTGTCCTCCTATTTTTTAATCATTTCTTATTTTTGGTTCTCGGATTAAATGATTTTTTTTTCTACTCTGTCTTCTAATTCACTGATCCAACCTTCAGCTTCCCCTAATCTTCTGTGCTATGTCATTCTTCAGAGTTACTATATCTTTTCTCAAGCTGTTGAGCATCTTTGCCATCACTATTTTGAACATTATGTCTGATAAATGTCTTATCTCCATTTCATTTATCTCTTCTTCTGGAGAATTATCTTGTTCTTTCATTTGGGGATGGTCTTCTTGTCTTTCCATTTTTGCTGTTTGTCTGGGTCTGAGTCTGTGTATTAGGTAAATCTGCTACCATTCCCAATCTCTAGTGCAGAATAATGTCAAACACTGTTTGAGACTGGCTCTGAGTACTCTGTTTGGAGCTATCAGCAATCCATAGCTTGTGGCTCCCTCTGCTGGGGCTGTATTCCTTTGGAAAGGATCAAGGTGTGCACCAGCATCTGCTTTTCCTAGCCCCAGGCCTCAGATTACATCAGGCAAAAACTCAAAGCCTCCAGAAACCCTGCCTGTTGTCCCATTGACACTCAGTTTGTATTAGCCTCAGGCTATTGACCACAAGGTGGGGCAAGAGGTCTTCCAGCAGCCTCCCCCCAGGCAAACATTGCCTGGATAGCAAGGCTCACTGGAGAAAGGTGTCCTCTGCTGAGCCAGAGATTGACTCAGCATGGGAAACTGGGCTGGCTGCCCTCTGAGCTCCAATTCCAGAGCCCCCAGACCTGGCTTCTGCTCATACAGCTGCAGTCCACTCTGCCCTCCCTCTTCCAGAGCCCAAGGTGAGTGGCTGCATATGAAATTTTGTATGTTGTCCTTTAAGAGGGTGCCTGCATTTCCATCCATCTCTCACTGGCAGATAGCAGCCCTGCTGCTTTTCACAGTCAGATGTTATGTGGGCACCTTCCTCCCCCTGTACTACAGACACACGCCATGTGGATTAGGCATGTTCCTGCTCCCATGGATGCTTGACATGGACTTTTGTTTAGGTCGCTATTCTCCACTCCTCTTTTTTAATAATCTAAATTTTCTGTGATGCTCAGGTGGGAAAGGAATTATGTGAGAGAGAGATTTTACTAAATATTATTTAATCCCAAATCAATTAAAACAAGGTTTTCAATGCATTTTATGAAGCTTGAGGTTATTATAAAATCAGCTAAGCATTACTCATTGGCTGGGTGTTGAGAACTGTGGTGTTTCCCCTGGAAGCTTTGGGTCTGCTATTTACAGGAATTATAGCATATTACACCTGCAGTCATCAGAGTCCAGAATAAGATAGTACTCATTAAAGTGCTGACAGTTTTAATAGATATGTTATAACAATCTGATTAGGGAGGATGAACCACCGTTATTGGACTGAATTAGATAATTTTTAGTTATTATTTTTATGGAAGCACCAAAAAATCCTATGGAATAGCTCATTGAGAACTTAAGCTCAGAAAGTTTTAGCAACTTGCCAGGTTACATAGCAAGTAAGAGGCCCAACCAAGATTCAAACCCTGATCTGTGGCCTGTAAGTTACCCTCCCACCTTCCTCCAGGACTTTTCAGAATGGGCTGGTAAAATCAGCCAGCCCTCGTGGCTTGAGTTTAGAGGGTTTCAAACAAGATTTGATAGGTGGGAGCTAGATGTGGCTGTCCCTGTCAGCAACCTGAAGGGGCAGAGGTGAAAACCTTGAAGTGGTGACTAGAGAGTTTAGTGAAGGGACTGTTTGCCGAGGTGTGGCAGAGTGGCGGAGACCAACAAGGAGACGTGGGGCACTCAGGAGAGGTTCCCACCTCCAGGCTTGAGGAGAAGGGGAGGGAATGGCATGGCATGAACCTAGTGCGGCTGTGGGGAAAGAACTTCCCCAGGAGCCATGGCCGAGCTTCGAGAGTCGCCCGACAGACTTCATCCAGGTGGTGAGGGATGGAGAGGAGGGGAGGAGGGGGAAGAAATTCTCTCCCTCCAAACCTGTTCAGCCCCGTATTGGCAAGGGACCCAGTGTGGCACGGTCTATAGAGGTCAGCCCCGGGGCACTCACAGAGCAGGGCAGGAAGAATGGAGAACTGACCTGGAGACAAGCAGACCCGGCCTGTCCGCGTTCTTGCGGGGAGAGTCCGTGGCACGTGCACAGCCGTGGGCCGAGGAGCTCGGCGTGGCCTCTGCTGGGACCTGGGCCGAGGAGCCTCCCAGAAGCGCTGAGAGATGAAGGCGAAGAGGCAGGCTGGAATCCCCACATGTCAAATAGAAGCGCCTGATCTTAATTCAGTGCCCAGGACTCAGCCAGTTTTGTTTTCCACGTATCAGCGTTAGTTTCTTTCTTTTCTAAACCTGGGATCTAGGGAGTGCCCCAGAATGAGAGGGAAGGGGACGAGGGTGTGTGCCGCCCCCCAGGAGCGCGGGAGCGAGGCCGGTGCCCTCAGGAGCTCACCGGGCTCCCTCTGTGTTGCAGTGACCTATGGGATGATGAGCTCCAGTGTGTACTACTACACACGCGTCATGTCACAGCTCTTCCTCGACACCCCCGTGTCCAAGGTGGAGAAAACCAGCTTTAAAACGCTTTCTTCAGTGGAAGACTTCTGGAAGGTACTTACCAATGACTTTGAAAGTTCCTCTCTGTCCCTGGTAATTGTTCATTTAGTTCATAAGTGAAAGCAGCCTTTGCAGGGCCTGCCTCGCGGGTGGCTAGAAGGATATAGCCTCGCATCACACTGTTTCATATCTTAACGTATCTAATCGCCATAGTAGCCATACAAGGTAAGTACTAACGTTCCCCAGGTTGTAAACGAATCTCCGTTTGGTTCAGGTGAATTCCCCATAGCCGGGGAGTAAGAAACGTACGCTTTATTTTAGCCTGAAGGGCACTTCTTCACCAGGTTTATAATTCATGCAGTCATTCATGATCCAGTAACTATCTGTTGAGCATAAGGCCCGTGGTGTAAAATTTAGTTGCTTTTTCTTGCTCTTTGTGTGTGTGTGTGTGTGTGTGTGTGTGTCTTGTTGATTATGGCAAGTACCCTAGACCAGTGCCTGCAGGCACTTTCTTTCAAAGATCTCTAAAGTAAAATTAAACCCAGCCCTACCCAAATTGTCACAGATTCCAGCATGGTGGAAGAGGATAAGCAAGGAATGATATCATAGGAGAAGCATCCAAGTAATCTGGAAGATACAGGGCTCAGAATCTACAAAAATTATGCGTGAGGGGGCAGTACAGGATTGGGAAGAAAATGATTATTTCTTCCTGAGGAGATACTATCTAAAAGCCTTATAAAAGCCCAAGGATCAGAGCTGTTTATTTTAATAAAGATGGAGGAAACTGGATCACAGGAACCTGTTTTAAATCCTGAAAATATTTGGCATCCAAAACCACACTTGCATAATACGAATATTTTCCTAGGCAAATCAGTTTATCTCTGTTGATCATCAGATAAGACACTACGAATGGCTAGATGTCTTTCCGATAAGCAAATTAATAAGAAACTTCTCACAGATCACAGAATCCAATGATAATAAATGCTAAGCTCTAAAAAAAAAAAAAAAAAAAAAAGCAGGGTTGGGCAGGGTTGGAGAGTTCACCATTTAGAAAATGATTCAAACAATTAAAAGATCCACCAGATGGCAGAATGGTAATCAAAACTATAGTCTTTTCCTTTCCAAACACGTTTTGAAGCATGGTGATTAATTATTAACTTTTAATCAGGGAAAGTGAAGTTGATCATGGCTATGGATTTATGTAAACAGCTCCCTCCACACCCTCCACCTTCAGTCCTAAAGCAAAAATCATAGTTTTCATTTAGTAAGCACCCATTGTGTACCTATGGTTCTGTGGAATGATACAGAGAAAATTAGCATGGCCCTACACAAGACACTCAAATTTGTGAAGTGTTCTGTGTTTTTTTTTAAAAAGAAATGTACTGTTTATTACTCATTTGAAATATCACTTGCAATTTTAAAATTAAAGCTTTCAACAATACCACCCTAGCAATTAGGTGGCAGCAAACAAAACACTGCCAAAAACAAATATTTTGAAAAATATTTACAGAAACGCATTGAACAAAATTCATCTTTATATTACTACCCCAACTCTCAGATTTAGTTGTATATAGAAAAATTTAATTTATATATTTATCCTATAATATATGAAACATCTGTATACACTTTATCCATTTTAAGCATTAATTCCAATTCTAACAAGACTGAAAAAGTATACTATTTAATGTAGCTTTTATATATTTGAAGACTATTGTTTATTATGCATATAACATCAGAAAACCAGTCAACCAGTGTTTTATCTTTTTCTGAAAATACATTTATGGTACACAAAAAAAGGTCTTAACCCAATAAAACTTAAAATTTTAAAACTTAAAAAAAAATTTAAGTTCAAACATCTGTAACACTGTAAGTGCCTTGCATATATCTCATTTATAAAGCCTGATAAGGAAAATAGTCTATATATTAAATATTAACTATAGCCAAAGTGATTCTCACAGGAATCTAGTGAGAATGACCAATAGTCATAATAAAAGGCAAATCCCATCTAAAGCCAGTAAAAAGTGTTGCTGTAAGAAAGATTATAATCATAAAATGTAATGGTTTCATGGATTTACCTCACTGGACACTTTCATTTGATAACCATTTGTGGAATAAAAACATAAACCTCCAAAACTTAGAACAAAACCTAAAAATATGAAAAGATTGGATTTATTGGTTCCTGTTTATTCTGTGAAGTGAAAACTGCAGGGTAATCCCAATGGGTTGAGCCTCTTTGAGATCTGAACCTTATATTTGTATGTTTGTTCAGAGCCAGACCATCCCCTTTCAAATCGATGTAGTGACTATATAAAAGATGTCCATTGCCCTAGCTGGTTTGGCCGAATGGGTAGAACTTCAGCCTGCAGAGCAAAGGGTCCTGGGTTCGATTCTGGTCAAGGGCACATACCTTGATTGCAGGCTCCTCCCCCTTCCGGGCCCTGTTTCTCTCAAATCGGTGTTTCTCTCTGTCTCTCTTTCTTTTCTACTCTCCCTGAAAATCAATGGGAAAATATCCCTGGATAAGTATTAACAAAAATGAAATAATAATTTTAAAAGAAAATAAAAAAGATGGACTTACCAGTGCAAGAGCCCAGGAACCCAGGCCTCCCAACTAGCAAATGATGGAGTAAAATCCAACTTAAATCCCTCTGACAGCAAAACCTACCCTTGTCACTCTGCTGTGTTCACAGAGTACCACACTGTTGGTCATGCACACATTCCGGGAAGGAGCAAGGCAGCCACGGAGCTTGGAGCTTTTCAAAAATGTTCCCTGTGCTTTCAGTTCACAGAAGGTGCCTTGTTGGATGGGCTGTACTGGAAGACACAGCCCGGCGACAGAACTGAAGCTGACAACCGAAGCTTCATCTACTACGAGAACCTCCTGTTAGGGGTGCCACGGATACGGCAACTCAGAGTCAGGAACGGATCCTGTTCTGTACCCCAGGACTTGAGAGATGAGATTAAAGAGTGCTATGATGTCTACTCTGTCAGTAGTGAAGACAGGGCTCCATTTGGTCCAAGGAATGGAACTGCGTAAGTGTCTTTGGCTCATGGCCCTGTGCTCTGGCCTCTCACCGATATTCATTCATTCTTCATTTGTTCATTCGTTCATTCGCTCATTCATTCATTCATTCATTCATTATTCTCTAACTCCTTCACCTAAGAAGATGCCCTAACAAACTCTTCCATGTGTATATTTAATGGCCAAACTAACCTTTGATTTCTCTACTTTTTACCCCCTTTTGGCTTCGAAATAATATTTTTCAAAAGGCTAAATCTCTGACCATATGGTCTATAAGAAAGAAGCTACTGGGCTTGGGAGGTTTCTGATGAGATGCCTGGATCTTATTTTTATAGAGCCAGTAGTATCATCTGCTGCGTTATTTCTAGGAAATTTCCTGGTGTAGAAGTTTTTTTGTTTTTTTTTTATGAGTGCTTACAAATCAATGTTTGTTCAGAATGCAGTTATTTAAAATGGATAATAAGCCTGTGAGGCAGTTTTTCTGTCTTCTCAAATGTGTTTATGATTTTGAATGTGTATTTATAATGTGTATATTTACAGGGAATTTATTTGGCGTGCTCTTTGGCAAACATAATTAAAACATCTTGTGTATTAAGGACATTCATTATTTTTACAATTACTGTAGTGATCATAAAGAAATGAGGCCCAGCCAGTGTGGCTTGATGGTTGGGTGTCAACCCATGAGCCAGGAGGTTGCTGGTTTGATTCAGTCAGGGCACATACCTAGGTTTCAAGCACAATCCCTAGTGGGGGACGTGCAGAAGGCAGCCAGGCAATGATTTTTCTCTCTCCTAGGTATTTTTATCTCTCTCTTTCTCTCTCTCTCTCTCTCTCTCTCTCTCTCTCTCTCTCTCAAAGTCAATAAAAGTGAAATGTATTTAAACCTTAGCCAAAACTGGTTTGGCTCAGTGGATAGAGCGTCGGTCTGTGGACTGAACGATCTCAGGTTCGATTCCGGTCAAGGGCATGTACCTTGGTTGCGGGCATATCCCTGGTAGGGGGTGTGCAGGAGGCAGCTGGTCACTGTTTCTCTCTCATCGATGTTTCTAGCTTTCTATCCCTCTCCCTTCCTCTCTGTAAAAAATCAATAAAATATATTTAAACCTTAAAGAAAAGAAAAGAAACGAGAACTCTCAGCGTTTCCCGTGCTGGGCCTCTGGGGTCACTGACCTGGGTGAATTACTGTGGTGAGAATTGCCATCTTAGCTTTTCTAAGCTAATTCTGACTGTTCATCTAGACCCCTTTTCTGGAAACTGAGGCTCCCAGAATCCAGATTTGTTCATACACAGTGGGGGTAAAAACACCTTTTCTGTGATCATATTCTTTGTCATCTAATGCACACCCTGCTTAATATCAGGGTCCACAAGAAATTAGTAAAAATCAGAGATTTAGAGTAAAGGGACTAAATTCAAAAGACTTTTTTTATGATAGTGATTTCCCTTTCCAAAGCTCCTTTTTCTAATTCCTGCAAAGTATAAATGTGCCCTTAAGCTATGGTACCGTTTCCATTATTTAACTTTACCTCATGTCATAAATAAGAGAAACATGTGCAACCAGGACTCCATGCTAGATGCTACTTAAGAAATGGTTTTACGACTCTTCACAAAGCAACTCTGAAATAGGGATCATCTCCATTTTACAGATGAACAAACAGGTTCGCTTACTCAAAGGGCCACAGCTAGTAAATGGCACCAAGCAGGGATTTAACCAGCCTGACCAAAGCCTGTGTTTTCTTCCTTCATGTCAATATTGTTGTTAAGGTGGCTTCTTGCTGCCTGCAGCTCCTCATCTGTCTTCATCTTCTTAGAGGCAAGGACTCTATTTTGTTCACTGCTGTATTTTTAAACCCTTCAATAGTGCCTGAACTGGAAAGATGCTCAGTAAGTGCCTACTGGATGCATGGATGTGTAAGGGATTTCCACTAAGTGTGGACTCCTGAAGAGGATCTTTCTTGTTGTACCTAAGCTGCCCCTTGATCCTGTCAGATTCTCAGGTTACTCCCATTTCTCCTTCCCTTCAATTCTAGACTTCCTAAAGAATAGTCTTCACTGCCACCTCCACTTCTTTAGTATTGAGTCACCCCTCAAAGCTCAAAACCCTTCTTTTGAGATCTCTCTTGGAAGCCACCAATGACCTCTAGTTAACAAATCCACTGACCAGTTCTCAGTCTTCATCCTGGTCAGCCTCTCTGCGGAGTGGGCCAGTGTTGATAACTTGTTCTTTTGACTTCTGTGAGTGACACTGAACTTGGGCTCTCTTAATTCTGTAACCCCCTCCTTTTCTCCCCTGCTCTGTCTTACTCCAAGGTTCTATATTCAGATCTGTCTTTTCTTTCTGTATACTCTTTCTTTATATTCTTTCCCTTGAAGTTCAGATGGTTTGCACTCTCATCTCTATTTGATGATTCATCATCTCTTCAACGCATACGCTGTCACCGTGTGTCACGCCTGTTCCAGGTGAGGTCTTCCTTTTCTAGCAATGCCCCGGAGTAGCAGCAGTAAACAAAACAGAATCAAATGCCCTGTCTTCACAGAGTTTACATTCTAGGGACAGAGACAAATCTATATTCTTTTATATGTCCCACCAGCTGCTATAGTTCAATATGCCCCAAACTGAACTCATCCCTTTTTTACTAGATTTGCTCTTCCTCCTGTTGCTGGCACCACCATCGTCACATTATCCCCAAAGAGAGTAAAGAGTCATTTTTGAGATATCCCCTGTCCCTTGCCCCAGTTTCCAAATTGTTGTGGAGCGAACACGAGTGAACGACCACTGGAGTCCAGACCAATTAAAATTTAGGGAGCCTGGCCGGCTGGCCAGCTGACCAGCGACTGCTCTGCCTTTCTCCACGCAGGGAGTCCAGAGGGCAGCAGTGACCCTTTGTGCAGGACCACTTTTAAACCTATAACCACATCCTGTTTTTGCAGAACAAGTAACCGAAGACAAAACAGTTTTTCCCAAGCAACGTCAGGATCATGCCATTGATGACTATGTTGTTTACGGGGTCATCCTGTTCTTCAGAAAGCTGACAGTGATCTATGAAAGAAGGCCTACGTACTGGGAAGGGGCCATGAGACCGTATCTCAAGGCCTGATCTGGTGTCAATACTGAAAACTATCTGGGGCATAGTCCATAGCCTCAGTAGTGCTTAAAAACTCCCACTCTCTAACACAAATCAGTTGGCAGGTTCTGTTGACAGTCACTGTGGTGGAGACAGTATCTGTCTTTCCTTCTCCTTTCCACCATCACCGCTCTGGTTCAGGCCTGATCACCGCTTGGTTACTGCAGGACTGCTGACTGAGCTGGGCAGGGTCCCCAGGACCACCCACAGGTCCGGTGATTCACTGGAGGGATTCACAGCACTCAGCATATTCTCATATGCATGACTAAGGTTTATTGTTTATTGCAGTGAAAGGCTCATAAAGCAAAAACAGCAGAAGGTGTGGGCAGGCCCATGGGGCAAAGTTCAGATGAAACAAAGGGCAGGCTTCCAAAAGTCTCCTCCCAGTAACCTCACATCGGATGGTTTTCATCCCTCCAGTAACCATGTGTAACAACACGTGTGAAATGCTATCTGTCAGAGAAGCTCTTAGATACCCAAGGCGTTAACTGGCTGCTGGCCACATAAGCACCCTCTGCCTGGCACATACCAAAATCCCAGACTCCCAGGAGGAAAGCAAATGTTCAGCCTAAGCCACTTTGTATGTACAGACAGCTCGGGCACAGTGAGCCACTCCTGCCAGTCAGGGAGAGTTTGTTATCAGTGCAGGGATCTATTTATCGGTCAAGTTCCAGATGCCAGCCAAGGCTGGCCTTCCTAAGGAAAGGCCATCTTGGACCTGCTCCATGAACTCTTTGCTACACATGAGCTCTTATTGTTCACCACACCAGTCTTTCCTGCTGCCACCAGACTAACCCTGTTCTGAGTCTCTTAGAAACCTTCTTTCCAGTGACTCTATGCTTGCCCTCCACAGTCTTGACTTCTGTGAGTGACACTGAACTTGAGTTCTCATCGTACGGAAGCCACACTGAATTGCTAGCTTGAGTGCCTTGTACTTCTCTAGCCCTGCCTGGCTCCAGCTTGAAGATGCCTTTCCCACCCACCTGAGCCATCTAGTCCCAGGGTACAGGTACCCAGGGAAGGCAGCCATATGAACTCTAAGGGCTAGTAACTCAGGGTCTGGAGACAGACAGTCATGATCTAGATTCCTGACTCTGCCTTCAAAAGCTCTGAGACTTAAGTTGAACCTCACTAAGCCCCAGGGCCCTCAGCTCTAAAATGGGAGTAATAACTCTATGACAATTAAATAAGAGAACACTTATGAATGCCATATCAAGCACCTTACTCAGCTCGGTAAGACATATATATATTTTTATTATTGCATACTCTCTTACCAGGAACCAGCCATCTTCGTAATTGCCACAAGTCTTCCACTGGTTTTACATGATTTTGTTTTCATTTTGTTTTTTAATTAGTTGGATTTACACGAGCGAAAAAGACTTGAATGGGAGTAGCCACTGGGGAATGATCGCAACTTACAGTGGAGCTGGCTATTACCTGGATTTGTCAAGGACAAGAGAGGAAACAGCCACTCAGATTGCTAGTCTCAAGAAAAATGTCTGGCTAGATCGAGGAACCAGGGCAACTTTCATTGACTTTTCAGTGTACAACGCCAACATTAATCTGTTCTGCGTGATCAGGTATGTACCAAGGCCACCCAGCCCTCCCGTTTTCGTGGATTTGTAGGTACATCCTTGTCTGGAGATAGGTCAGAAAACTGTTGCCTGAAGTTGGCAAAGTGACAGTGTTAAGTATCTGAGCTGATAGGGAGGGAGGAGTGAAAACTGAAGTCTTATTGGGATAACGAAGTCTTATTGGGAGGGAATAATCTTAAGTCTGGTCCAAGTTCATGCCAACAGCAGCTGAAACGGGTTTGGCTCAGTGGATAGAGCATTGGTCTCCAAGTTCATGCCAACAGCATTGTTTTATTAACATATTTTTTTACCCCTGTGAGGCTTATTAACGCTCTATGCTCCGTGACCAAGATCCCCAGCCATCAAATCTTGACTCATTTCCCTGAGTTTCCCATTCTCAGATGATACCCCTGCTATTAGAACATGAGCACAATGGTAGAAGCTATTTCTGGGCTCAATAGGATACTCAGGTCCTTACTTCTGCTCGAGACTCACCAAAGGCATACAAAGTTCCTTCTATAAATCCTGTGCCATTGCAATCATAACTACTTAAGTGGCACTGAGGACACTGACAAAGATCCCACTCACTTGTCTGGGGCCTCTTGTTCATGCATTCATTCAGCGGGCATTTATTTAGCATTTAATGTGGTGTCAGGCACTGTTCTAGGCTTTTGGGACTCTTCAATGAAGACGATAAAGAGCTTGCATTCAACCCCAAGACAGGTAATAGACAATTAACAATAAACAAAAGAAACAATATGTTAAAGCGTATATTAGAAGGTAATATGTGCTATAAAAAAGAAAAGTAGAATAGGCAACGGGATTTGGGGTTCACCCACTTTAATCATGCTGGTGAACGACATGCTGCCAGCACCCAAACGCCGCCAACATAAATTACTTGCACATATATTTACTCACCAATTAAGAAGGATAGATTCTATCCTATCCTTATTTTGTTATCATTTTTTAGGCTAAACTCAACTCTGCTTTACATGGCCAGTTTGCATTTTTCCCATTCCTTGTGTTTAACAACTTTTTCAGAAAGTAATATCAGAGAAATGAATGAAAATCACAACTTTTATTTCGTGTTTTAGTGATTCCAGCAAGGATGGGAAGAGGACAGAAATAGGCAGACAGCCTGGTTGACTTCTAAGGAATTACCTATTTATAGAAAGTCTTGCATATGTCTTTCACTTCCCATATTTTAGGAGTGAATATTACTTCATTTCCCTTTACTGTTGTCTACATTGTGGGGAGGGGGGGGTCAGATGTGGGGTGAGACTCGCCTCAGAGGCTACTTCCTGCCCTAATGAATTTGTGCTGAGGCTTTCACGAAGCTCTTCTTTTCAGTATTGCTCTCTTGAGTTTCAAATAGTCAAGAAAAAAGTAGATCAATTCTAATTTGCTGCCCGTACTGGGTTATTGCTCCTGTGTGAGTCCTGTATGCTCAGGCTCTCAGTGTGCTCACCCATCCTGTAATGGGAGAAGTGGTTATGCCTGATGCTGACTAAAGGTCCTTTAAAAGTCTTACAATTAAGGAAGTAGCGATCCTGTTTCTAGTGTGATAGAGAGGCTATGCCATTAAGGGAGTCATTTAATTTTCTCAGTGTGACACCTACAAAATGGCAGTTTGGCAGGAGACATCCTCAATTTAATTATGCTTCCCCTAGAGATCAATGTCTTCAGTAGACATAGAGGGTGTGGGGAGTCAGGCATTCACTGAGCACCTGTTTGCTGTAAGGCAAGCATGTCAAACTCCTGGCCCACAGGCCGCATGCAGCCCACAACGAATATTTCTGCAGCCCAGCCAATACAACGGTGTGAGCTGTTACTTAGAATTATGAAAGGAAATAAGTCTCCTGCCAGATCCAGAATGACGGACACTCACCTTGGGTCAGTTTTGGAAGGAATCCCTGCAAACACGATTTCCTCCGAAGTAGGAAAGATATAGCAGAGAAGAGAAGCCAAGTGTCAGGAAGAAAACATTCATTTTATCGTGGCTCTTGTTCTCTTCTTTTATACTATACTTTTCAAAATAAACCTACGTTGTTCTTTTGTGGCCCACAGAAACTTAAACCTTGTTTATTTGGCCCGTGTTAGCCTTTGAGTTTGACATGCTTGCTGTAAGGCTTTGGGAAGGGAAGCAAAAAGTACCCCCAGGATAAGTTATTCAGTGCTAGTTAGTGTTACCAAATGAACGAATAGGAAGCTCCATCCCTCTCCTTGTATATGGTACAAGATATACAATTCTCAGCCCGAACATACATACTTTGAGTGCATGACTTATACTTCTTATGTTCTTCATTGTCTAATAGAATGACCTGCATTTAATAAAAGGCCTAGAAAGGCTTGTTTGTTATTTAACTTGTACATCACACACAAAAAAAGGTGTAGACAGCATTTTCAAAGTGTAAAAATCAGACAGGTAAAAGGGAGATTGAGGAGGAATAATCTCTTTAAGTCTGAGAGGTCTTGGGAAATCTTTACATTTTGTTACATAAAATTCTGCAAGTCTGGAGTCATTGGCTTTGATTAAACATTTGCCCCTAGTTCGGGGTGACATGTGATTGCAATTGGATTACCTTCCAGTGCAAGACAAAATAGATGGACGGACTGTCCCAGACGCATTCATATGTTATCATTGCTGTCTTAATTGTTCTTATTACAATGCAGGTTATTGGTTGAATTCCCAGCAACAGGCGGTGTGATTCCATCTTGGCAATTTCAGCCTGTGAAGCTGATCCGATATGTCACGACTTTTGATTTCTTCCTGGCAGCCTGTGAGATTATCTTCTGTTTCTTTATCCTCTACTATGTGGTGGAAGAGATATTGGAGATTCGCATCCACAAGCTACACTATTTCAGGAGTTTCTGGAATTGTCTGGATGTTGTGATCGTTGTGGTAGGTTTGAGAACCACACCAAATATCCATCGCCGTGATAAAGACATGTTAATGAGAGTTGTCTCCTCAGCGCTGTGCACCTGGATATTCCTGAAGGAGAATCTGAAACTCCTGCTCCATCAACTCCAGTGTTACTCATCTGTCCTCACTTTGCATGAGTAACCCCTTTGCAATAACCTCTCAGCCACACTAATAACAAAAATAGCAATAATTTATATTTGTCTTTGCCATGCCATGAGATGGGGGGAAGGAAAGTCTTTGGTATATATTGATTCTGTTTTTTTGCTAATGATATTTTTCTTCAACTAGTAAAAATTAATAGACATCTTTCTGCATAAATGTAAGAAGAAACAGCCTGACGTAGTTTGGGTCGCAGAGGAAATCTCCCCGCAGTTTACATTTTCCTGCAAGTAGTTTACGGTGTGCAAAATACATTGCCAGCAAGGTTTTCTCTATGAGGTGTAAGAAATAATAAGAGTTATGACAGAGTCAAGACTTGCCTGCCCATGATTCTATTATAACTTCCTTTTTTAAATATATTTTTTATTTCAGAGGAAGAGAGAGGAAGAGAGAGAAATTTTAGGAGAATATTAGCAAATCAAGGATCCACATTTTTCTCTCATTGACACAGTCTCCAGGGAATTTCCAATAAACAAATGAGCAGCTGTTCCCTTAGCACGAACACTGTTTCAAGGATCGGAGACTGCTCAGGGTCTTCCAGAGCAGATGATTCCCAAGAATGTTTGACAGGAACCTGCACTTTGCCCCAAATCAAGATTTCCTTTATTTTCTCAGTGAACTCAGACAATTTCCTTTTTTCTACTGAAGGTGAGGTGCTATCATTTCTAAAACAATAATTCTTACATGGACATGTAAGAGAAAAGAGAATACAGAAGGCAGGATGAGATGGGAAAAGAGAGGAGCTAGAGATAGGAGAAAGGAAATAAAGCTGACACGGATCAGATAATATAGCCAATCTCTTTAAAAGAAGGATAATGGCTTTGATTAAAAGGAGATTTATTTTTATTTTTTTATGTTTTGATTTCTGAGAGGAAGGGAGAGAGGGAGAGAAAGTTAGAAACATCAAAGATGAAAGAGAATCATTGATCGGCTGCCTCCTGCATGTCCCTACAGGGGATCGAGCCTGCAACCCAGGCATGTACCCTGACCGGGATTCGAACCGTGACCTTCTGATATGGTCAATATAAAATATGAACATATTTATATTTATGTCGTTGTTGATAATGGTAGAAAGGTACATGTGATTTTATCTAATTAATATCAGTCTTCTTTTTTACTACATTACTCCAATGTCAACAAAAGGATAGTCAGTGGCATTCAGCCCTTCGTGATTATGTTCATCTGTCACTGAAAACTTTGATAGTGTATTCTAACGTGCTGTAATTATCTATGAAGTGTGTGTGTGTGTGTGTGTGGACATAAAGGGTACATTTGTAAAAAATACACAATATCAAATTTAAAGATTCTAACAGTTTCTTGTCACCTGCCTTGAAGTTTTAATAATTTCCTCCCAACTTCAGTGAATTGTCTCATCCCCACTTTGGAGACCACTGGAAAAAACAGCTGATGATATCATGGAAATTAAGGATGGTTTCTTTGGCTCAGCAGCCACAACGTTTTGCAAGTATTTCTTTGAAAACTTGCTTCACTGTGCTGCTGTCCATATTTTTCCTAACTCTCAGTACTGCCAAAGCGACACTTCAAACAGTGTGCTTAAAAAAAAAAAAAAAGGTAGGGCTAGTGGAATCTCACTTCTTCAAACCTTTCCTGACTCAGTGGAAATAAGGCAGATTTTCTGTTATTCCCCCCGCTCCACACATGCCCTGTGTTCCATTAGACCTTGAACCCTATGAAAGGAGCCAATGCTTTTTTGTTTGATTTGGCCCAAATTTGCTTGCCCATCTGACTTGAAAAAGTCCAACTGAAACTTGAAATATTTTCTGAATACTTCCTATCCGTCTGGTACTGTTCTAGGTACCAGGTGTTAGGGACATAGGAATGAGTAAGATAACCAGAACCCCTGCTCTTGTGAAACTTATATTATGGTAAAAAGAGAATGCTCTTTTGTAAATAAAGATGAGAATTCCAAAGAAAACTCAGGAAAGACATAACAACCCAAATGTTCACAAAATCTTTTTTCTTTCTTTCCCTATTTTGAAGGAAAAGTCTCAAGGGAATTTAGTATGTTGATATGATATTGACATTATATAAATGACTACATGATCCATATGTTTATAAACATTTGTCCTGTGCAGAGTGAAACACTAGATGAAGAACACACTGTTCGGAGTGTGTTTGAGTCAGTTAGTCAGCACCTCCCCCAACTTATTTTTCATCCATTTCAGCTAAGTCCAAGGAGAAAAACATTCTCAGTATATCCAGGGAGCTCAAAGAAAATATTCCTCAGTACAGAAATACAAGACTGGTTCTAGAATTCTTTCATAAAGAAGAAAAGGAAGGTGGTGAGGTTGGCTTTGCCAATTCTATTGGCTGCCAGGCAGATCTTTGATATGATAATCCCATGGGACCATGATCTGGTTGGCCTCTCAAGAAGGGCTAATGGCCCAGCCAGTGTTGCTCAGTGGTTGAACATCAACCCATGAACTAGGATGTCACGGTTCGTTTCCTGGTCAGGGCACATGCCCGGGTCATGGGCTTGATCCCCATTGGGGAAGGAGAAAGGGTTCAGAACGCAACCGATCGATGATTCTCATCATTGATGTTTTTATCCCTCTCACCTTCCTCTCTCTGAAATCAATGAAAACTTATTTTTTTTAAAAAGAAGAAGAACTAAGGAAGTGGTCAATGACCATGATCATCCATGAGAAGAAAGGGAGAATGGGCAGCAAGGGTTACACCACCCATCACAACCACTTGCCATGCACTCAGACTTCGCATGAGAGCAAGGGGTGATGGTTACATCACTAGCACTTCCCACAGGTACATGCCCTCCAATGATGATGGATGCAAATGTAGGGCCCCGTGTCCCCTCAGATATAGCTTTATAGTCCAGGACCAAGTATGTGTGAAAAGTTGTTGGTCATATGTTAAGGGACAGAAACAAGCCCATGTATTCCCACTGCAAACTTTCTTGAGCCATCTCTGACATCATTCCCTCCCCCTTATAAGGCCACGCTCATTCTTTCCTTAATATTTCTGTCACTCTTCACCTTATGTTGTGTGATGGCAATTCCTGAGTAGATTTTTGTGTATTTATTTGGTCTTGAACTAGAGTATGCGTTCCTTGAGGACAGAGCTAGTGCTCTTAAATTCTGTTTGTTCATTGGATTTCTGTTCCTAACTGGAGGAGTGCAAGAAGCAATATACTGTGTTGCTGTGCTCAACACTTTCCTGTTATGTGAGTGACGTTTGTGAGTGCAATTGGGTGAGAAAAATGTTGGTCCCTAGAATTAATACAACGGCAGAGAGAAATAAACTAGTCGCTGCATCTCTAGAACTAAGGCTTACTGTATATGATGAAATGCCCTAACCTTTCACATACATGGAAATGTACATTTGTTGTCTATTTCTAAAACACGGTAATAATCGAGAAGTCTTTTGTTTTGCAGCTATCAGTGATGGCTATAGGAATTAACATACACAGAACATCAAGCGTGGAGGTGCTGTTACAGTTCCTGGAAGATCAAAATACCTTCCCCAACTTCGAGCATCTGGCATACTGGCAAATACAGTTCAACAATATAGCTGCGGTCATAGTATTTTTTGTCTGGATTAAGGTAATGTATAAATTTCATGTTCTGGATTTTTAATAACATGTTTCCTTCTTTTTATTAACATGAATCTCACAAAACGTCGGACAAATTTGCTTTTGTGGCCAAATTCAAATTGGCAGCCAAAGCTGCTCCATATTTTGAAGTATACTAATGGGACTCATTTGATCATTCCTCTTGCTATGAATGATGCTCCCTGCTACCTGAGCTCTTGCAAGACCTGTCCCTGTAAGTTTTAACAGAAGCAATAGAGGCTTTTTCAGTGTGGCAGCTGGGCTGGAGCCCAGGCTACTTTAACAGGGACAGGTCACCCGGATATAGATGTGACCAGATGAAGGAAAAGGAACTAAGAGGAACGGAGAGAGGGGGCAGACATACTAATTGGAAATGAATACCTCTAGGATGATTGCCTCTTTTCCAGGGAGAGGCCATAGGGAAGCTTTACCTAGAATTGAGGTTGGAACAAGCACTTCTGAGCAGTTCCTTAACCTCTCATTTCCTTCTTTTCCCAAGACATAATGTACATTTCCATGCATGTGAAAGGGTAGGGCATTTCATCTTATACAGTAAGCCTTAGTTCTAGAGATGCAGGAAATTTCTGTCATTGCAGGACAGCTGCCAGCCTCTCACCAGTGTCAATTTAAGTTTAAATTAATCAAAATCATATACAGGTAAACATTCAGTTTCTTGATCACTCTAGTCACATTTTAAAAAATTTATTTTTATTGATTTCAGAGAGGAAGGGAAAAGGAGAAAGAGATAGAAATATCAGTGATGAAAGAGAATCACTGATAGGCTGCCACCTGCACACCACCCATTGGGGATCAAGCCCACAACCCGAGCATGTGCCCTGACCTGAATCAAACCTGGGAGCCTTCAGTCCATAAGCCAACACTATCCACTGAGCCAAATCAGCCAGGGCGAGCCACATTTTGAAGTGCACGGAGTCTATATGTGGCTAGTAGCTACTGCATTGGACACTGGAAATAGAGAACATTTTCATCATCACAGAAAGTGTTATTGGGCAGCACTCATAGAGATGCTAATAGGGATTGTATTAAATAATGTGTTGTATTAAATAATGTGTTTACAACAGCCTGATAACATTTTGATGTGGCCAGAAACAGTTTATAAGAGGTCTTGAAGTAAAATTCTGGGTGGCTTATTTAATGCTTCAGTTGTAAATATCTTGCCCCCAAAGCTTTTAAGAACCATTACATTCTTTCAGGCAGGGTCGTGGCTCAGCGTCTTTGTATCTTCCCAGTGTTCTTCTGTATAGAGCTGTGCAGGTGGCCATGTCCTCTGGGCTGTGAACTGCTCAACCCGGGCAGCCATCCTCACTGCCTTGTCTACAGAAATGCTTTGTATGGCTTTGCAGTCAGACAGAACTGGGTTCAAATCCTGACCCCAAGCCCCAGCTGACTCCTGAGATGTCTACCAATGTTTTGGTCACTGTTAAGATTTGAGGCAGTCTACTTAAGCGCTCCCTGGTACATGTCTGGTACATAGTCTGATGAGCAATAAATGACAGTTAATAATTGAAGTATTTCTTGGAGGTCTCTCTCTCTCTCTCTCTCTCTCTCTCTCTCTCTCTCTCTCTCTCTCTCTCTCTTTCTCTCTCTCTCTCTCTCCCTTCCTCCCTCCCTCCTTTTTTTTTTTTTTTTAACTAGTTTTTATTTGTGGGAGGTTTTCTCTCTTTTATTTGAAACTTCCTTGAGAGAAAATTACCACTAGTCATTTTAATTACAATTTACTGTATTTTAACCACCAGGTAAGTGTAACTAAAACGAGGGCAGAGCTTTGTTCTGTTCACTGCTGTATTCCCAGCTCCAAGAATAGTGCCTGGCGCATGGTAGGCAACCAAAATACTTTTTGAATGAGAAAATAGAATTTGCTAGATTTGGGGGGGGAAAAAAAAAAGCAAATTACTTTTCTTTTAACTCGTATAGTATTTTCAGCGTTCATTCATGTTGCAACATGTATCAACATTTCATTCATTTGTGAGTCTGAATAATATTCTGTTGGCTGTACATACCCATTCATCTTTTCATACCCTTCCTGTCTTTTACAGCTCTTCAAATTCATCAACTTCAACAGGACCATGAGTCAGCTCTCCACAACCATGTCTCGGTGTGCCAAAGACCTCTTTGGTTTCGCAATTATGTTCTTCATTATTTTCTTAGCCTATGCTCAGTTGGCGTATCTTGTCTTTGGCACTCAGGTTGATGACTTCAGCACTTTCCAAGAGTGTATGTAAGTATATATGACATTAAGAAGAAAAGTTTAACCAGGGATGTCACTGCCTTCTCAGGGATAAAGGATAAGTCTTCATGGTTGCTGTTTAACCCATAGTTTAAAGGTAGTTGTTTAAAATTAGAATTAAATCTCTTTCCCAGAAGCATTGACCCACCAATGCAAAGATGACCATACATTCTGAAATGCTGATGCTTGAGGTAACAGCTCATATCATAGTGAGACATTTTAGTTAGAACAGTAGAAAATTAACGCTGTTCCAAGATCAAGGTCTTCTTAGCACCACATGCAGATGGTAGCTTTTAAGAGACCATTTGCCTATATTTTTATTCCTAGTCAATATTGTTGCCATATGTTTTAAACATCAAGTTATTTTTTTAAGGAAAAAATAGTATTTCTAATATTCTAGGAGAAACTCAGTACAAGAATTTTCTGTCTTTTTCTGAAGTTCTCAAATATGATATTAAAAACAAGAAAAATAGCCAGTATCAGATTTCCATTCCATTTAGAAAGGAGTCAGGAAAAGAGATGATCATGATAATTGGAAGTTAATAAGACTTTGCACATGGGAGCCCTCTTTAATATTGCTGTTTGATAAAAGTCAGGAATGAAAATGATTTTACTAATGAAGACCCAATTTTGGTAACACACGGCCACTCTGGCCCCCACTTTGAGTGTGTATCAGAATGTTGGATCTTTGAGACATAAAATTTTGGCTCTCCTTCAAAAATCTTTTTTTTTGTTTTGTTGTTATTAAGAGATTTTAAATTCAGACCCAGATGGCCATTGCAAAGGTTTAGAGTTACCATATTTTACCTAAATTATGTATTAAATTCATATAGCCCATTGCCTTATAAATTATCCAATAATTATTATTATTATATTTTATTAACCAAATTGAAATAATATTTAGCATGAAAGAATTACTTTAATTCCAGAAGGCTTCAATTGCTCATATAAGTAGCAAGAATATTCCAAAGGGATTGACAGTTTTCTGTTATTTGACAATTATCTACACTGAAAAAAATGCCTGAAATCGTCTTTTAAGAAATGTTGCCTCAATGCTGTACATTCTTTGTTTTTGTTCTGTGGTGTTTGTTGTTTTGTTTTGCGTTTATAGCTTCACTCAGTTCCGCATCATTCTGGGTGATATCAACTTCGCAGAGATTGAGGAAGCTAATCGAGTTTTGGGACCACTTTATTTCACTACATTTGTATTCTTTATGTTCTTCATTCTTTTGGTATGTATGCTTTTATTTAGAGTGATGTGATTTAAATTTCATAAACCACCATCTTTTCTTTTCTCTACACTCTATTCCCTATCGTTTTTTTTTAATCCCAGGAAGTAGAAAAATGGGGGTATTATAAATCATATTTTATTTTATTTGTCTTTGCTTTACAGTTTTAAGTCTTCACCAAATACCTTTTCCATGGACTTTCATTTATCTAACTATAGATAAATAATAATGTCTACTCAAGGAAAAATATAGATCAAGTGCAAATTTATAAAGTTACTTAAAATAGTGCTTTGCCTAAAAAGTAGACTATACTTCCTCACATGCTTTGTTAACACAAACATCAGCTTTTCGTGGTCATTTGCTAACATGACTTAGCATTTCTCTCTCTCTTCTGTTTAAAAAAGAGGAACTGACTAAGCAAGCTAGATCCAGTATGTCAAGAGTAATATTTGAGTGAATCATATATTGTCAAGATATTTTACTTTCATTTACTCATATTTAGCATACCTAGAGACTAAATCTAACAATGTATGGAAACTGCTTGAAAAAAATATATTAAAAGATATTTGTTTATTTTCTTGATTTGGTACAAATTAACATTCTTGCCATTTTGTCTTAAGCTAATTAGGATTTTTTAAAAGACATTTTGTTCTTCATTTAACATCTATACATTTATTTGTCTATTCTACTAAGAAAATATTGTTAGTTTAACCTAGGCATTGGGTATTTTTTTGTTTAAACACTAACATTTAAGGATTCCTCACATCAACCATCATCTTAAGAAAATGAAACTGTTTTTGCTTTAAATGGATTTTATAAAGTTTCTTTGTATAAGACTCAGTAAGTAAGTGTAATATCTCCAGAGCTGGACCAGGTCCTTAGTGGTTAAGTATATAGTATTTACTGAGTGAGAATTAGACGTATTTTAATAAAATGAAGAGTCAGGAATATCATGCAAGTTCATTTGTATCTTGCTGTATGCATGTCCTGCGATTACTTTTTAACTGAGCCTCCTAAGTTTCTCCTTCTTATTATATATTAAAGAGTGAAAAAATAGAGGAAAAAGTAAGCCTTTTTTACTCTCTAACATTGCTAGTACTTTGAATTCTGGAACATCTGAATCCCTGAATGTCTACTCAGAAAACAAAACCAGGAATTGAGAGTTCTTCAGTGACCTATAGTTGACTTCAGGCCACCTAAGTTTTCTTCATATGTTAGTCAGCCAAGTGAGGGACATGACTGTGGCAAGTAGAAATGCCTCAGTGTGGACTTGCTTGAGTGTTGTCCTCCAGTAGATAGCACCTTCTAAATTATTCAATCACTTTATCAGATCGATTGCTAGAACATGATAAGAAACACTTAGTTTTTTTTTTTACACTAAAATAATTTTTTGTACTACTACACAAAAAAGAATTGCTCTCCCTACCCTGCCCCTAGCCCCCCAAAAGAGGGAGGCTACTGTCAATACAAACCTTTTATTTTTTTTTTATTTTTTTTTATGGGAATGACAAGCTAAGTGCAGTGTTGGCCATCTTTCTGAGATGAAGGCCAGGTGTTGATTTATTGCCCCTGTTAACAAACATTGGTGTGAGGTGGCCCAGCTGAGGCAGAAAGCAAAAGCCCCATCAACCACAGGGAAAAACTCCAACATCCTTGTGAGACAGGATGGAGAGGAGGGTGAACTTCCTCTCTCCACATCTCCAAAAGCCTTTCTCAGCCACTTCCCAATTTTTTAAATCTCTTCAGAGGATGCACACTTTAATCCACTTCAGCTAATACATTTTCAGGTTTTAGGTAACAGCCATTTGGAAACAAAAATAAAACATCAGATGCCCAGATTGAAAAGGAGAGGTGGGAGATGTTATTCCTACTACAACTGCCTGCCCTTGGAATTGAGCCTTAAGCCAGGAACTAACATGTATTCTATATCCTATTCTCATTTCTGCTGCAGAATCTTAAACAATATTCCTCCTTAATTCGTAGCAATTTAGTAGCCCATTAAAATCCATTTGAATAATAGAGCTCTCATTTGTTCATTCCTCAATCGTACAATAAATATTTACTGAGCCACCATATTCCAGGCAGTGGTTAGGAAAATAGAGCCCAACCCTGCCATCATGAAGACCCCATAAACTTATGGGAAAACAAAAACACTCACATACACAATTCTATAGTTGCAAATCATAGTTACATGCTAAAAAAGAAAAACAAAGGAAGGACCTAATCAACTGGGTACAGTGCTTCCAGAAAATCTGTTGGAAACAGGTGTTGAAAATACAAGCAAACCATTATACTGGGGAAGGGAAAAGTCAGGAAAATGGACTATTACTGAATAATAATAACTATAAATTATGTAGCACCATACATTAGGCCCTGCCTCTGGATACTTTACATAGATTATCTCATTAATCCTTACAACAAATATGTAGAGGAGATAGTATTATCTTTCCCATTCTACTAACATAAATACATTTTAAAATGAAGATTAGAAAATTTGAACAGTCTCGGCAATGCCAAGTCCAAAACCCAAGTTTGCTTTACTCCAAAGTCTGTCTCGTCCATTAAGCTTTTCTTGACTATCTTCTTACTACACTTACCATATTCCTATTTGCAAAGATCTTTTTAACTCTTCTATGTTCTGTAAATCTCAAATGATATTATATAGCAATATCTGGCATAAGCATAGAATTTCACTTGTCTGTGTGGACTGTTGAAATTTGAAGAGCTGTTTTAGAGTTCTTCACACCAAATAATTTATGTCAAATAAAAGATATAGAGAATATACATAAAGAAAATAATAAAATAATTCCTCCATTCATAGTTAGATACATTAATATTTTGTTGTATTTCATTCTTGTCTCTTTTTTCAAAATACATCACAATATATGGTTTTGTAAGTAAGAAAATGTCACATTTTCCTTTGGCATAACTTCATTGAAGAAATAATTTTCCCAAACAATATGGTAGCAAAACTATTAATTTGTGACTTCTTAAGACATCAAATTGTTTTCTAAAAATGGTGAACAAAATGGCAGTATCAAAGATTGGATTATTTACAAAATACATTTAGGTAGCTATTTAAACCTCAACTTTCCTTTGATTTACAAACAGAATATGTTCTTGGCCATCATCAATGACACTTACTCTGAAGTGAAATCTGATTTGGCTCAACAGAAAGCTGAAATGGAACTCTCAGATCTTATCAGAAAGGTATGATAAGCCCTAATTCTCAGAATTGTTTTGTTTTCTACATAAAATAATCATTGTCTCAGCCATAATATTTCCAAATCAATATTAGTAAGTTGTAATTGTTTAAAATAAAGAGTAGATTCTATATTATAGGAATAATTGAAGTGTTTTTGGAGATATTGATACACTGCTAGCTTGGATTTAAATACTTGAATGCCCCAGCGTTAAATTCTCAATCTGGTTTTGTCCCCTTTGTTTTGAAACCTCCTCTAGTTGGCTCTCACTTTCAGACTCAGAATTCAGAATAAACTGGAAGATTATAAAGTTATTTCCACTTTCTAGATCTTAATTACAATTTTAAAAAAGGAAAAGTGTCTGTAGTTCATTCTCCCTTTATCCTTGGCCTTCGGAAGAAGTTGTGAAATAGTCAAAGGGGAAGATCCTTGGCGGAAGGCCACAGCCTAAGGGCATGAGAACTTTCAGTTATCCACCCTCTCAGGAAGTGTTTGATTGTTAAATAAAAGGCCGGACACAAACGTTGGGCAGCTTTGTTCTTCTCAATATGACTTCTTGACTTGGTTTAAAGCAACAACAAATAACTACATCCAAAGTTCACAGTTTGTTACCTAACTTCATTTTGCTCAGAACAGTGGCTCCCTTTCTGTTGGTTTAAGCCATAGGACTATGTTGTCTGTGAATCCTGTTGTAACAGAGAACTTCCCCTTTTTAAAATAGAGTGCAATGGGTGGGACCTAAGATTTTCATTATCGTGAATTTTGCATAACAGGTGATGGTATTTTAGCAAATCTCTGGGGTGTATGCAAGCAGTCCTCACTTTGCATGATTGTTCTGATATGCATCAACACCAATTACCTCAGTTAAATAACACCAACCTCTCAACAGGGTTCAATTTTCATTTATCACAGCATATTGACTAAGAACATAATGTACAAACTTCACTTGCAGTTATCACAGTATAATAATTGTGAGTAATGGTACAAAGTGCAAACTTCACTACAGATGGTTGCGTAAATAACAGATGTGCAGCCTGGTCAGTGACCAAATACCTCACTTTTCGCAAAGTCTCGGTTCAGTTGCTGAGGATCTGCTATTCAGTTCACTCACAAAACACGTAGTAGTTGTGTGGCTTCCTTATCTTCCAGTGATAAATCATGTGACCTTTTATGAAAAGAGAACAATTGAAAGAGAGAATGAGCCAGCAAAGTTGAAAGTATAGCAGAGAGAGGAAGAATGATAACACTGGACATGAAAATCAAAACAAGTGTAACAGTTTATAGGAAAAACAAGTAGCTGGCCGTGGGATTCTCACTGCTACCATTTGAGAGATGCAACGGAAATAACTTAGTGAAGGCAAATTTTTCAGCGTAAATGAGGAAAGTGATTGCGACATAAGGAATGAAAATGTCTCAGAGGAAGTGGCACTGGAAAAAACAAACAACAAAAAACAAAACAAAAAACTTCCCATTAAAGAAACTCCTGCCAATATTTTACAACATTAAAAGTGCCAAGGATAAAATATTGGTAACTGGCCCATATTAAGAAAGGATTATGATAACTCGCCAAGACATAGAAAAGATGCTCACTTCATACCAGTTATACAAGAAGACAAGCAATGTTCAAAATACACTGAATCTGCTCCCTCTTCCCACCCCCACAAAGAAAAAGAGCTGCCATGGAGATAATGGACCCAGTCATTTCTGAGTTTGCCTCAGAGAGTTTAACTATCCATTAACCACATTCTTGAGCTCACAAACCATTAGACCAACTGGGATCCTTTCACTATTGAAAATCACTACAATAACAACAGCAGTAATAATAATACTTTTCCATTCTTATAATAAACACTGTGGTAGAGGAACAAATTTTCTGAATCTTCTGCCTAGTCTAGTAATCAAATAGACAAGAATAGATAACAAGAGAAAATAACCAAATTTAATATATACATATGTACGGGAACCCCATATACATGAGAGAGTCAGAGACCCCACATGCAGGAGATGTTCAGAGATAGAAAGGTAACTTAGGTCTGATCAAATAATTGAATCTATACCGTATCCCTCCCCTGGGAACTGACCTTTAGACCACTTCATAACCGACATTCCTTTTTGCTTAGACCACATTCCATTTGCTAAGACCATTATCTTTCTCCTCCGGACTTGCCCAGGATCCAGACTGCCCAGAAAATTCCCGCCTAAAAACCCTGCCTTTAAAACCTCTGACTGTCCAGTCCCTGGCTGCTGGTGCCATTTGGGGGCTCAGCCCATCTGGTCTCCAGATGACCTAATACATGTATAATCCCCGACCACTTTGGCCTCGTGTATTCCTTCTCTGGTGACTCTAGCAGGAACATGGGTGCAAAATACATTCTGAAAGCTGAATCCAAAGAGGTATGTGGTAGGCAGCGGGAATGGCACCAGGTATAAGATCTGTGGGGTCAGACTGCATCTGAGTATAGTCTTGTTGTTTGAGTTCAGCCAAGACTCAAACAACAAGCCTATATTTATTTATAAAATCAAAGAGGCGGAAGAAGTAATTCATAGAAAAAACAGGCTTAGAAAACAAGTTATAAAAGTGAAGGAAGGGCCCTTGGAGCTTGGGAATAGAGAAGGTAAGGGTAAAGAGCCTGGGGTGGGAGAGTGGAAGTGAAAGGCACAGGCCTGCTATCAAGAGGGAGAGCCTCTGGGTCCTCAGCTATAAGGGTGGAGATTTTAGGGGAGGTCCCAGGGGAAGATCTTAATAGAATGTTCAGCAGCTTTCCAGGTGTGTCCTTTCAGTCTCCACTGAGGCATTAGACAGTGTCAGCACAGGGGTGATTAGTCAGTGCAGCTGGTCAGCCACAGGGTCGGTGGTCTGGTTTTGCTGCTATTCTGAGCTTGGGGCTGAAATACCACTGAGGCCTAGATGTTATCTCTGGGGAGGAAAAGTCAGCAGGTCCAAACAATATGCTTGACCAGTGATATGCTAGGAGTGGAAAGGTCACCCTGGGGGCAAGGTTCAACCCTACAGTTGTCCTTTGCCAGGCACCTGGGGCCTTCCACTCAGGTGACTTTCTGTATCTGGCCCATTGTCCTTGCTCTGCTCATGTCTGTCTAAAGTGCCTAAAGAGCCTCAAAGGGTCATTGCAGGAAGAACGGATGTTTAGTAAATACAAGTTTGTTCTGCCCTATAGATTGGTCAAAAGCTATCTCTAATAATTATTAATTATCTCAAATAATTGCTCATTATGGGCAAGGCCCCTAATTCAGGTTCTTCTAGGTAATTAAGGAAGGTGTAGATGTTTCTCTTGTGCTTGTGACTAAAGTTTCCTTTGCTCAAAACAATCTGCGTATCACTGAGGGACATGTTGGGGTGACTCATTCTGAACCCTCACAGTCTTCTTCTCTGAAACTTCCCTGAATAGTTCACACTCCAGAAGTTGGGTTGGTAGGTGGTTCTGTGTCCATTAAGCCAGGCACCGTCTTGAGAAAAGCTCAGTTCAGGGAAACAGCCCTGTCTCATTTCCGGAGGCGGTGACGCAGGTGGGCTCCCAAAGTGAAGCCCGTGGCACAAGCAGTCAGTTGTTTCATAAGAGACATCTCTATGGAAACAAAGAAAAAAAACACGCACCAACAAATGTCAATGATGCGAGCGGACTATAATCCCAGTTTCTGAGTCTGTAGGCAGGCAGCCAAGAAGATTTCTAGCTGTCTGCCTCCAGTCATCCTCAGATGGAGTGAAGACAGGCACTTATAATCTGATAGGCCCTCTGGTCTGCAGTCTGAATGTCTCTGGCGATCTTTTTACAATGGGCATGGAGATTGTCCGGACATGAGCTGCCGTGGAGATATCTCCGAAGTTTACTTCACGTTGTCCCACCTTAGCCTGCGTGGTGTTGGAAAAGGGCGGTTTTCATTCTCAATACTTACAAGTTTAAGGGTGAGAAAATGAAAATGATAGTTTGGAGGATTGCAGCCAAGTATTTAAGAAAGCTGATAACGTTCTGTCGCCAGTCCTCCAACAAAGAAAACTAGAAAAATTCCAGATCCAACCCAGTTTGGGTAGAACAATTTAAAAACTCAGAAGTCCGTGAGCAGTGGGGTGGTGAGCACACAATACATATGCAGATGATGTATTATAGAATTGTACGCCTGAAACCTGTATCATTTCAACCATTGTCACCCCAGTAAATTCAATTTTTAAGAAGTCAATGAGGCGCGCCTTGCTGCAGCCAAGACAGCAGCCGAGCACCCGGAGCCTCTCAAAGGAGAGTTGCAGCCGCCGCTGCCACCACCTCCTGATCACTATGGTGCCTGGGCTGCCCAGGAGCTTCAGGCCAAACTGGCAGAGATCTCAGCTCTGATCTGAGCAGGGAGTCGGGAGGAGCTAGTGGAACGGGCTGCAGAGCTATACCCGCCAGACTGGTATTGTACTGAATCGCCGGTTCTAAGAGGTGGAGATGGGGACAAAGCAGCTCCCCCTCCCACGTCAGCACAGCTCACTGGGATTCCGATGCCGCCACCACCCATGGGCCTACCCCCTCTGCAGCCTCCTCCACCACCTCCACCAGGCCTTGGCCTTGTTTTTCCTGTGGCAGTTGGGCCCCGCCCACCAAACTTGGGGCCCCACTGCCTCTCTGTGTGGGTGAGCCTGTGGCCTTGTCAAAGGAGGAGCTGCTGAAGCCGGCGCAGAGGCAGGCAGCTTTGTTGGTGCAGCAAGAGGAGCGCGCCAAGCAGCAGGGAGATCATTCACTGAAGGAACCATGAGCTCTTGGTGCAGCAGATGCAGGCAGCTGTGATACTGGAGCAAGAACAACAGCAGGAAATTGCCAAGACGGGCAGCCCAGTGCCTCGACCCCCACAAGACATGGGCCAAATGGGCGTTCCAACTCCTCTGGGTCCTCGAGTTGCCGCTCCCGTGGGCCCCACTCCTACTGTTTTGCCCATGGGGGCCCCGGTTCCCTGGCCTCGTGGTCCCCCACCATCCCTTGGAGATGAGAACAGAGAGATGAATGACCCCTCGGT